CATTTAAAAGTTTAGCTAATTGTTGTATCAAAGTATTATTTGCTTTATTCTGCCTTTTCTTGTTAAAACCAATATGTTGTGAATGAGCTATTTCCTTTTTATTCTTAGGTTTTATAATAATATGTAAAGATTATTCCATGTATTCTTTCTGTTCTATGTACTATATAGGTCTGGAAACAAGATTTTCTTCCTAAGTTTTTAACCTATTTCATTTCTTGTTATTGGTAAGGAGCAGTAATTAGGCACCCTGATTTAAATTGTTCTAATTTATACTAAAATTAAAAATGCTTATACAAACACAATCTTATTCACCTGCTTTAAGCCAAGTACTTGAATGTGTGGTTAAAGCAGTGGAATTTGTTTTACAGCGTCACTGAAAAGTTGTTTACTATATGGGTTAAAAGGTGGATTGGTACCATCGCCAGCATCTCAAAGCCGTTGTTTCTTCATTCTTCTGATCCTTGTCTCTTGTGAATTTATCTCTTATTTTTCATCATTTTACTCTTTTAATCTCTTCTCAGATGGGCTGGGCAGTCTGTAAAAGACTCAGTTTAGAGCCTTTTCCTCATTCTTGGCTATTTTTACATGGTCCCATGGTTCCGAGATAAGTACACGTGGATTTCCAGTTTTCCTTGCTCTTATTTCTTTCCTGCTCTACATGGCCAGCTGAAATCATTCTGAATCCTAGAAATCATCCTTCCACATGAAGATAATCCATCCTGTTAAGCTGGCTAATGACCACTATCTAGAAAGGACATGGCCATTACAAACTGTAAGAAATCTTAATTAAGAAAAGTGACACCAGTGCATAATTGCAACAGAAGTTTGAATTTTATGGTGTTTACCATGCACCAAGCACTTTACATATTATGTTCTCTTATTTAATCCTTTACAACAATATTGTAGAATCGGTATGACCTGCCTAGGTCCTCAAAGCTAGTAACACCAAAGTGAAATATTTCCTGGACTCAAATTGTATCTTTGTCACACCATTGTCACATCGTGTTAACTCCTTCAGACACACAGACCTTGAGCTTTGAAATGGACATGTTTTAACCACACATCCCTTATAGGTCCTCAAAGCTAGTAACACCAAAGTGAAATATTTCCTGGACTCAAATTGTATCTTTGTCACACCATTGTCACATCGTGTTGACTCCTTCAGACACACAGACCTTGAGCTTTGAAATGGACATGTTTTAACCACACATCCCTTAATGTCCGTCAGCCTTATGGTGGCCAATATAGAGTGTGGGACACTTGTAGCTTCTCAGAAGGAATGCTCAGAATATCTTCTGGTGAGGTCAGCTGACCACTTTCTTCTGGCTGAGATGACTGTAGTCAGGCAGCACATTAAGCTAGTCACATACACTCACTTCTCTTGTTATCTCCTTAGGTGCACCCTAGTTGTGCCTTACTAGGTCTTCATAGACTATTAGTGGGGTGGTTAGAAATTCTAACCCTTACCCCCTTCCCCTCCCCCCTTCCATCTCTAGTAACTATAGGTCTGTCCTCTCCTTCTGAGAGTTCATCATATTATTGTGGTTCTTTCTCTTTGTTTTTTTCTCTGTCTCTTTCTTTTCTTCCTTAGCTCCCCCTTATGAGTGAAGATGTGCTATATTTCTTTTTCTGTGCCTGGCTTATTTCACTTAATAATTTTCTCCAAGCAAATTTATCATCCATGTTGCTGCAAATGGCAGAATTTCATTCTTTTT